AAGGGCCAAGGAGTTGCAACTGCAAGAATTTTTGTAGAAACGAACCCAACTTACCCAAAATCTATGACTGAGGTATTAGAGATAGCTGTTGAAGAAGAGATGAAGTCCAGTAACGCTGTACTCAAACACACTCTTACTTTGCTTTCCTTCTGTGCAGCACAGCCATTGAGTCTTGAGATAGCAGTCAATTACATTCGAAACGTAGAGGTAGATATGCAAGATGAAGATGACATTAGGATGAAGATTCGAAGATGCCCTCTGTTGCTGTTCGACGAAAATGAGAGTGGTGTGTATATTAGAGTACATCAGGTTACGCACGATGCCGTCAGCAAAGTTGTTGGGAGAAATACTCAGGAACGTGAAGTAGTAGTCTTGAAAGCGATCGTTAAGGCACTGTTCCAGTTTGTGGAAGATTATAAACTAATTGATCCAAATGACTTGAATTCAGTTGGTAAAGGAACGGGTACCGTTCCTCATTTACGAACGTTAGGAAGAACAATTAGACAGACCTATTCCAAGGAAACTGTATCTGAAGTTGCAGAAAACGATATCTTCCATACGTCTTCTACGTTGTTCTTCAACAAACTTGCGAAAACTTGCAATAAGTATTGCACGTTCGCCGAGGCAAAAGAATATTACGAGCTGTCGTTTCGCATCCAGGTAAAAGCCCTCGGACCTGAGCATGTTGATCTTGCAAGCACGTATAACAACCTTGGATGTGTGCACATCAAGCTAGGTGAGCTGAGTCAGGCAAAAGAGTTTTTTGATCGCGCACTGGCCATTCGTCTAAAAAAACTCGGACCTGACCATGTCGGTGTCGCACGGACGTACGGTAACCTGGGAATTGTGCATTGCAATCTGGGTGATTGGAGTCAGGGAAAAGAGTTTTATGATCGCGCACTGGCCATTCTTAAAAAACTCGGACCTGACCATGTCGATGTCGCATGGACGTACGCCAACCTGGGAACTGTGCATTACAAGCTGGGTGAACTGAGTCAGGCAAAAGAGTTTCATGATCGCGCACTGGCCATTCGTCTAAAAAAACTCGGACCTGACAATGTCCACGTCGCAAGCACGTGCGAAAACCTGGGAAGTGTGCACATCAAGCAGGGTGAACTGAGTCAGGGAAAAGAGTTTTATGATCGCGCACTGGCCATTATTCTTAAAAAACTCGGACCTGACCATGTCGATGTCGCATGGACGTACGCCAACCTGGGAACTGTGCATTACAACCTGGGTGAACTGAGTCAGGCAAAAGAGTTTCATGATCGCGCACTGGCCATTCGCCTAAAAAAACTCGGACCTGACCATGTCGATGTCGCACGGACGTACGCCAGCCTGGGAAATGTGCATTACAAGCTGGGTGATTTGAGTCAGGGAAAAGAGTTTTATGATCGCGCACTGGCCATTCGCCTAAAAAAACTCGGACCTGACCATGTCGATGTCGCACGGACGTACGCCAACCTGGGAAATGTGCATTGCAATCTGGGTGATTTGAGACTACCTTTTCTCA